GACCTCATCTCTACAATAAATCAAAAAAATCAGCCAGGTGTGGTAGCGCGCACCTGTAGTTCCAGCTACTTGGAAGGCTGAGGCGGAAGGATCGCCAGAGTCCAGCAGGTTGAGGCTGCGGTGGCTGGGAGCGGCCACTGCACTCCAATCTGGTTGACAGAGTGAGACTCCAACTCAAAAAAAAAAAGAAAAGGGGGAAAGATCCAATGATGAGATATCAGAAGACTCTAAGACAGCCAACAAAAAGAAAGCTACATTTAAAAAGAAAACACCAAGAATCCTACTTAAATTACATGTTCATTGCAACTGGTGATTCACATTTTCCAAGCCTGCTTTGTATAATATGTGGCAGCTGGATCTCCAATGAAGCCATGAAACCTTCAAAACTTCTTCGCCACATTGAGACCAAGCACCCTACATTAAAAGACAAGTCTTTGGAGTTTTACAAAAGAAAAAAACGTGAACATGAAGAACAGACGCAATTATCGAAGGCCATCACTTCATCAAATGTATCTGCACCGAGAGCATCATCATCAGCGGCTAACCACACTGCTAAAGCTACGAAACCCTTTACTATCGGTGAAGAGTGGATCCTGTCTGCTGCTAAGGACATCTGGAGAGAACTTTTTGAAGAGGCTACAGTTCAAAAGGTGACACATGTTCCTCTTTTGGCTAGCACCATAACTAGAGGAATAGATTAAACAGCAGAGGATACTGAGACAAAACTGTTAGAGAGGAATAATGTGTCACCATGGTACACGATCCAGGTTGACCAGTGCACCGATGCTGACAACAAGGCAACAATGCTTGTTTTTGTGTGATACATTTTCAGGAGAATGTGCATGAGGATATGCTATGTGCACTTTTGTTGCCAACTGATAATCCCACAGTCACAGACTATTCAAGTCTTCAAATGGTTCCATATCAGGAAAATGGAATTGGTCATTTTGTGTCAGTATAAGCACTTGCCATGACTAGACAGCTTTCCGGTTTCACTACTCGGGTCAAAGAGGTCGCTGCTGAATGTGAGTCTACGCACCGAGTCATCCATAGAGAAATGCTGGGTAGCTGAAAAATATCACCTGAACTTAACAGCATCTTGCAGGATGTGATGAACATCATCAATCACATGGAAGTCCATGCCCTTGACTCATGTCTGTTCACGCAGCTCTGTGAGGAGGTGGACACCGAGCACACACGCCTTCTCTTACACACAGAAGGGAGATGGCTTTCTAAGGTAGATCACTGGTCAGAGTTTTTGGGCTACGAGAGTCTCTCCAGAGATTTCTTTTTTTTTTTTTGAGTTGGAGTCTCACTCTGTCGCCCAGACCGGAGTGCAGTGGCCGCTCCCGGCCACCGCAGCCTCGACCTGCTGGGCTCCGGCGATCCTTCTGCCTCAGCCTTCCAAGTAGCTGGAATTACAGGCATGCGCTACCACGCCTGGCTGATTTTTTGATTTACTATAGAGATGAGGTCTCGCTGCCCAGGCGGGTCTCGAACCCATGGGCTCAGGCAATCCACTCACCTCAGCCTCCCAAAGGTGCGGGATTACAGGCTGAGCCACCGAGCCCGGCTTACTCCAGAGATTTCTTTTAAAAAAACAGTCACCGCTGGCAGCACATTTCAGGAACACAGAATGGGTCACAAAACTTTCTTACTTGCGTGATGTATTCATTCTGCTCAACAAATTCAATCTGTCACTTTAGGGGAGAACAACAACTGTGTTCAAGCCAGCAGATACAGTGGCTCCATTCAAAGCCAAATTGGAATTATGGGGGTAATGAGTGAACTCTGGCATTTCTGACATGCTTCAAACACTAGCAGAGATTTTGAGACTGAGCCAGGGTCCTCTTTCTCCCAGCTGGTGCATGATCACCGATCTCAGCTTTCAAAAGAGTTTGAGCATGACTTCCAACCACAAAAGGTCCCCAGACTGGGAAGGAGCGGATCTGCAACCCATTTGTGAATAAGCCAGGTGAACTGACTATGTCCATGCTAGGAGAGGATCAATGACCTGAGATCGCACTTGACAGTGGCCTTAAAAGTATGTTTGAGATAACTTCAAATTGCCAATCGTTTTGGATAAAGTCAAGGTGGAATATCCTGAAACTGCCACAAAAGCACTAAAAAGCCTGATTCCATTTCCAACATCCTATCTTTGGGAAGCAGGGTTTTCTGCAGCGACAGCAACCAAAATGAGACTATGGAGTAGACCGGACACAAGCAACACACTTCGGCTGTCACTGTCTCGCATCACCCCCAGATGGGACCATCCAGTTGCAGGAAAACAAGCTCAGGGCTCTCACTGATTCTGCATTATGGTGAGTTGTATAATTATTTCATGATATATCACAATGTGATAATAACAGCAATAAAGTACACAATAAATGTAATGTGCTTGAATTATCCCGAAACCATGCCTCTCCCCCACTGGTAAGTGGAAAGATTGTCTTCCATGAAACCAGTCCCTGATGCCAAGAGGGTTGGGGACCCTCGTGTGTTAGATGATAAATGCCACAGGGGGGAAAAAAAGAGGAACAAGATAAAGGGGAACTGAAAAATGCATGTGAGGTGGAGAGGGGATTATTAATAACGAGTTCAGGTCAGACCCCACAGAGAAAGTAACATTCAGGTAAAGACTTAAACATGGGAGAGTTCACCGTGCTGCCATCTGGGCAACAGGCTTTGCAAAGGCCCTTGGGCGGGAGCGGACCCGTCACGTCTCAGAAACCACAGGGAAAGTGAACAGGCTAGACAGGGCGCGGGCGGAGGATGGAGGCAGTGACAGCAGGTGGAGGCCCAGAGATTACCTGCTGACAGGGGAAGGTGCTAAAGGTGGTCAGGTGGGGGATGTAACT